GCCGAGGAATATTCCAGCACGAGAGACGGCGCGGCGAGGTTGAAGGCATGAGATGTGTCCGCATCACCGTGGTTGTCATGGTGAAACTAGGATCGGTGTGCGTTAGTCAAGTTCGATGGCCTCTGCGGCACGCTCGTGAGCCACATGCACAGGAGAGGAGAGTCCCTGGTCTAGACAGGGAAAGGGGATTCCAAGGCAGCCTTGGGCCATCAATGAGCTGCGGCTCCCGGGATGTTGCCTCAAAGGAGAGAGTCTGGTGTTCTAGAAGAAATGCCCCACGTCGTGGAAGGCTTGGAAAAGAAAAGTCATCCGAGGAACACAAGTCCTTCCCGCAAACGCCGCCCAACCAGACGGGACGGCAGCGGGGAGCAGGTCTCAAACTCGGGAGGAGGGGGGGGGGGCTTTGAAAAACCGGCAAACCTAAAACAAGGTCCTTTCCTGCAAAATTTGGGGCTGGGGTTACAATGGTCAAAGCTTGAGTCGTAGCCAGGGTCGTCCTGGCCCTCCCGGGGACACAAGAATGTGCGATTTGTGTTCAAGGGCTGTACCCGGTACCGAGGGTAGGTCGGTGCGAGCGGTGCGAAGCCTCCCACTAATTTGACTTGACCTCGGTGCGTACGCAGCGAGTCTGGCGTCCAGCAACCCAAAATGGTGTGTTCTTGATCTCGGTGACATCGGGGAGAGACCTGGTGAATGGCCGACACTATTACTGGGATGAACCAGACGATCCAGCAACGCCAAACCGTGTCTGGGGTTTATCCCCTTTAGGTTGCCCCAAATCCCCCAGTGTGGAGATGGGCCGCCATCAGACAACCAGCAGCTTGGCTTCTCTTGGTACCGCAGCGAGATTGCATCAAATGACGGACGGTCGACGCGACGGATGCTTCTGCCCAAAGCTGCATGGCACGCTGGCAGGCCATTCTCTGCACCCAGATGCGGGCCCAAGAACCGATGGGTTGGCCAAATGAGGTCATTGGGTGTCGCGTTTCAGCGGGTGAGCGGGTGAGTGGAAACAGCAATGTCCCAAGTTTGGATGGTGGTTCCCTGCCGGCCTCCTGGTGAAGCAGTGCCACGGGATAAATTAAAGACGGGAGAGTCGCGGGAGATGAGCAGAGAGAGGGGCCGGGCGGCACCGTCTCGAAGACACCGTTCTCTTCCTCTTCGAACAATACGAAGGCCGCATCTGAGAGCCCGAGAAGGGAGGTAGGTATCCAGCTCGGCAGCGGAGACGCTATACTCACACGGGGAGGTCCTCTCGTAGATGGCCTGCTGGCTCCGGCAGAGGCACAGACGGGTGGGTGCTTGGAGGAGGGCAGGACCCTGATGGTATGCGGCACCCATGTAACGTGGTTTGTCGGTTGCTCCGAGATCCCCAGTGGCCGGAGAGTCCCAAAGTCCTTTTAGCGCATTCGCAACCCGAATTAGGGGAGTGATTCCGTCCTGGCAAAAAGACCCAAGGACCTGAGCCCGGCATGTGCCCATGACGGGAGCGTCTCGCCGAGGAGGCCGGCGTGTCGCGTGCGGATGGTCATGAGTCGTCGATTGGTGGAGCAGCGAGGCTGCTGAAGGGGGCTTTTGAGATCCAATGATGTGGATGGCCTCACTGTCTGGTAGAAAGCAGTGCTGCCATGTACCACGAGTCCGATGCCGTCAACGACTCAGGCACTTTCTGCTCCCTGTCGACATGGCTAGGGGATCATGAGCTCCCTACCTTGGTAGGGATAGTGATGGTGATGATGATGTGTGTGTGGTTCGCAGAGGTGAAGCGGTGGTAAGAAGCACGGACAAAACCGACTGCTAGGCAAAATTATGGAAGCACCAGAATGCGAATGCGCGTGTCATCCTGCAGGCCTTGGCAGCAGGATCACCCCAGCATGTGCCTGCCAGCCAGCCCGCCAGCCCGCCTGGTGCCTGCCGCCCCCCGGCCGTCTGCTGCAAGACCAGCCAAGTTCCTGCTCCCGAGCAGACCAGACGGATAACGGGTTCGTTCAAGTGCGCTATGCAAGGCCTGAAGCCCACTGTGGCTGTCGGCCGTTGCAAGCCCGCATCTTGACATTTCTATCAACATGGCGCCATTCTAAGTTGTGTGCCACAGCAGCGGCCCCGCTCCTCGATGCACGACTCCAAGCTACCATGTAGGTTCCTTGGGTGAGGACAGCGAGATGTGAGATGTGATGTGTGAATCGCATATGCCATCGCACTCTCACGTGTCGAAGCGGGAGGTAACACGACAGATGAATGGGTGGCTTAGTCTTAGGTCACAATTCTGCCAAAGATCCGCTCTCTTCCTGTAAACTGCTACTCATGCAAGCAAGCCTGAATTGAAGAAAGACCCCCACACGTGTCGACCGTACATACCAGGAGTGGGTAATAGGCTATCAGTTCATACGTAGGTCGGCACTTTATCATCAAGCTTACGGTCACCATCTCGTCATAGGAAGAGATCGAATTGCATGACCGGTGGGTGTTGGTCGGTGACATAGCTTTACCGTTACCTGAGCATGAGCGACTCCTCGGCCCAGCGGGAGACATGTATTCGATTGATGGAGTCATGCAAGTCTGGCGAAAGGATCCCAGACAGGGTGTCAAAGATATCGATGTAGATATTTGGGAATTATGAGGATCTGGGCAGCCTTCGGAAGATGGATCGGCTGACAACTACAGACGAGATAGCCATCGAGCGCAAAGATATCACATGAGCGACCTGGAGTTCGAGATGTTCCGATCGCTGCAACCTCAAGCGATGCGCTGCTTTGCTGTGCTAGCATATGCTCTCCCAATGGAATGGTCTTCGCAGCGAGCCTCAGCTCACAAGGGGGAAGGGGGGGGGGGGTGGTCGCTTGCCTTACCCCCGTAAGATGGACATTGGTAACGTGAAAACGATCGTGATACAGTACTACCAGTGGCCGCTTCCCCGAGGTTCCACTCCACTGGCTGACTAACCCGATCTGCTTTAGCTAGCCGTTCGGAGCTTTTGGTTCAACTCGAGCTCGGAAAGCTCACAACATGGACAAGACCATCATACGCAACGCCAATTATCACGATACGCACCAGTTTGCCAGTCTCCCGCCACCAGAGCAGCGCATTCATCGACATTCAATCACCATAACCACTTGTCAACGATATTGTCTCGCCGCTCCAGGAGGAACTCGGCAGCGCACGCGACGCTTGATATCTGCGTCTTCTCCGAACACTGAACACCGACCTCTCCCCAACGCACCTGCCTCTCGCAGCCAGACCACCAGGCCACCAGCACCGCAGGCCAGCCAGGGCCAGAAGCCCACACCATGGCAGCGATGACAGCACACCCCTCGCTGGCGCCGTCCCGCGCCGCCCCCGACCTGGCCTCGCACACCGAGCCGGCCGCGACATTCGACTTCACGCCCTTCCTCCGCGCGACGCACCAGCACGCCCTCGCCGCCGACTCGGCGCCCGGCGGGCAGCCGGCGCACACGCACGCGGGCCGCGGCCCCTCGCTCGTGTGCAAGCACTGGCTGCGCGGGCTCTGCAAAAAGGGCGCCCACTGCGAGTTCCTCCACGGAGTACAACCCTCCGCAAGATGCCCGAGTGCAACTTTTTCACGCGAACGGCTACTGCTCCAGCGCGAGGAGTGCTTCTACGTGCACATCGACCCGCAGTCAAGCTGCCGCCCTGCCCCCACTACGACATGGGCTTCTGCCCCCTCGGCCCCGCCTGCGCCAAGAAGCACGTCCGCCGCGGGTTGTGCCTGTTCTACCTCGCCGGCTTCTGCCCCGCGGGCGCAACTGCCGCGACGGCCCCCACCCCGCGGTGGGAAGAAAGAACCTCGAGCCGGCCGAAGCTCCAAGGGCCGAGGGCCCAACGCAAGAAGGGGGGAGCTTCAAGCGTCAGGGAGGAGGTTCGAAGAGGAGGGCCGCCGGCCTCCATTGAACCGGCAAAAGGGTTAGCGAAAAGGAACGGGGGGGCTTCCGCCGACAGGGGGGAAAAGGAGGCTTGCCCCCGGGGCCAGGGCCGGTGGTGGTTCCGGCCCGCCGCAAGGGGGCGCGACCCGGGGGGGAAGTGGAAGGGCGCGGCAGGCGGTTTCCCGGGCCGTGGAACTGGGGGGAATAAGGTCCCAAGGGGAAGGGCAGGGGAGAGCCACTTGGTTTTCTTCCTTGAGGGGGGACTGGCCACGGCGGCCCGGATGTTCGAAGTGGGAAATAAGGCACAGAGAAGGGCCTGTGAAAGGGCCCGAATTGATACCAAGTTTAGAATCCTTCCTATTTCATTATAGAATCTGTACGTTCAGATCCCCAAGAGCGGGATTTCCTTCCCCATGCCAGGTTGTGTGGTGCACACGCGTTATGACGCCTTAACAAGTGCGTCTGTAAAAGGCAAGCAAACATGGGACGACGTGCTCATGACGTCGCAACATTGCTCTTCTCATCTCAGGACAGCGATAAGTCCTGGTGCACATTTCGCTTCCTTCCCGAGAACGTCATATGACTCGTCTGCACGCGAAAGCTCGTCACCGCCGATGCCCCATCATGAACGCCACGATACCGCGGGGCACCCACCGTCCGACAAATCCGTAGACACCGGCGCCGAGGCCTACGCGGACGGTGCCGCTGGTGATGGAGCATCAACAACGTCAAAGACGCATGTGCAGTGTCGCAGCGAAGCTGCCCTTGAGGCCTCGGATGCGTCCGGCCGAGATGCCGACGTGCTCTGCGTGACAAAAGTTGCGGCCGTAGGCGTGGCGCGCATCTCGGGCCACATGAGCGTCTCAGCGGCGTCGGCGTCAATGCCGGGGGCCCTCGATCAGGGCCCTTTTTGTACGCTGACGTGTGTGATGGCTTGGCTGGTGTGAAGCCTGCAAAGTCAAAAGGTGCCCAGCTGCATGTGGGTGACGGGGACACCGAGAGGCCTGAGCTCCGCAGTAAGAACTTCGGTGAAGGCTGAGAGGGCGGAGCAGACGGTCGCCTCCGGCGCGTGGAAGGGCGGGTTGATGGACGAGATGATCGAGGGGGTGAAGACCATGACCTTGGGCGGGTGCCACTTCTCGCCGGCTGGGCTGAGGCGAGCTGTGAGAAGGGGAAGAAAGGCCTGTATTGTGAGGATGGGGTGCAGGAGGTGGGTGTTGAAGAGGTCGGCAAAGCTGGAGGGTGGGATGGTGGCGATGGGAGAGGTCTGGTAGTTGAGAGACGGAATCAGGATGACGGACTTGAGCTCGAGGAAATTCGGTTTCGTCTTGGGTGCTGGAGCATGCGGTGACTGGAGGTACTGAGCAAACCGTTCGATAGCGCTGCCGGCACTTGGGGGCTGTTTGAACAGGTCAGTTCTGTGGTCCGTGGCCAAGAGAAAGAGGCAGGACGAGACTTACGTCGGTGGCATCGATCGTCAACGGCTTGATATCCGGCCTCGACATGTTGTGTACCATGGACTCGTCTTCAACGGCATTACAAACGACAAAGACGATGAACCCTCTCCTCTCCATGTCCAGCGACAGCGATCTCGTCAGAGGCAAGGTCGGCGAACCAGCGATGACGACAACCTCCAGGCGACCACCGTTCCTCGCACGCTTGGCTCTCCTCGTCTTACGGTAGAGACTACTACTCCTGTACGTCTTGTAGACGACAACGCCAAAGACGGCGACAGCAGCGCCCGTGACGAGCTTGTTCCGAGACATCCAGTCCCGAACTTGTTCGTAGCGCGTCACAGCGATGACCTCGATGGGTACGGAACGAGACACTGGCGTCGGGCGCACAGAGTCGGGAATCCATTGTGCTGAGGATAGAGTGTCGCGGACGACTTCGGCAGCCCTGTCGACCTGGCTATTGATCTGGTTGGCAATGTCGTCGGAGTACCGGCGGATGTGGTTGGGCAGGGACGAGAGCTTTGGATGGTAAGCATGGAAAGGGGGTTACAGGCTGCAAGAAGGGGAAGTACTTACGACGTCCAGAAATTGCTGGTCGTCGGCCGACATTTTTTAGTTCGTTGCAAAGCTGCGATTCAAGGCGTTGCTGCTGTCCGTCGTGGTGGTTTTGGTGTCGTACCGGTGCCTATGCCTGTACCTGTGGCGGAAGAATGAGGGCCAGTAGATGACGTTGGAGAAGAGCTTCGAGTCGCTGGAGCACTCGCTCGAGATCGGGTGTCGAGAAAGAATTGCCAGGCCACAGGTGGGGTCATTACAGCCGGCCACAGCTGGTCATTATGGTTCACTCAGAATGGCGATCATTACATGAATCTCGAGCATAGACACATACACATACACCTTGGCAATTTCACAGTACACTTCACCAGACAGCAAGAATTCAGTTTCGTTCGTTGTATTGTCCATGTATCGTTCATCGTGTCGTGCTCCAAGTTGACCAACTAATTATGCAATGACCACACATTCCAAAGAAGCATCATCACTGCGTCTGCGACGACTTTGAACAATCAGGGTCGTGAGATACTATGAAGCAACGTCTTCAGAACCTTCAGGGAGCGCCTCACACTTTCCTGGCCAAGCATCTCAACCGCACATAGGAAATCATCTCTCCACCGCTCCCATCCTGGCTGACATATTTCAACACGTCACTCGCCTCCCTCACAACCCCTTCAACAGCATCAGCCCCCTTCTCCTCCTCGACGGCATCCAAAAAAGGCCTTGCCCATCAACCGCACCCAGCCCTCGACGCCGCCCTCGCCTGCCGTCGTCGGTCGCCATTCTCTCTCCACCTTTTCAATCTTCCACCCCCCCGCTTCCTCCTCCATCGTCCTCGTCAGCCACTTCTCGTCAGGGAAGAACCACGGATCGGCCGCCTTTGCCTTGTCGAGGCCAATGACCCGTCCGGCGGCGAGCACAAGCGCCGTCCTCATCTCGGACACGTTGCCGAGACCGCCCATCTCGAAAGCAAACGTCGCGCCTGAGGGCAGCACGTCTCGCACGCGCGCAAAGAATGTGCTCGCCGTGTCCGGCTTGAGGATCCAGTGCATCGCCGCATTGGAGAAGGCCTTGGTGTACCTGAAGGGGAACCGGCTCCTGTCGAGGTTCATCTTGTTGGCGTCGACGACTGGAAGTAAAGAAAAAAACACCTCCATGTCAGTCGGCGTATGCAAAGTAAGTCACGAGATGGAACATGTACGCACCCTCGAACGTGCACCTGTCTCCGCCCGGCGCCGCCTCGGCAGCTCTGGCAGCGGCCGAGATCATGGATGGCGAGGCGTCGATGCCGTGCACGGCGCCTTGCCCCTGCGAGAGGACCTTGGCGAACTCAATGTTGAGCACGCCGTCACCGCAGCCAATGTCGAGAATGACGTCGTCCTTTTGAACGTCGAGCCATTGCACTACCTTGGTCGCGAGCTTGGGCACGAAGGCGGCTGAGTGCTGGTACTCCTGGCTGAATGTTAGCCTGGTGATTGACAGAGACGCCGGTTCGATGCAAGAGGAGAGCGCACCTCTGTAGACCAGTTGTCCTTCTTTTCGTCAGCCATGGCGAGATGTGGGTTCTTGCGAGCGATGAAATGAATGAAGTTAATTGTCTTGACCTTGAATTATCTGGTTTGACTAGAGATATGCCTGGTCGGTGCTGTCTTATATAGGTAGGTTGTGGTCATGATCCGGGTGTAAGTGGTTGACTGACAAAGATGGGGTCAAGCGACGAGGGCCGATCTCGGACCCTGGACATTACCATGCACGACAAGGCTTCAGCCATCACGCATGCAACTCGTACAATACATGATACACTCTGTGGAATGATTTGCCAGCAAACAAGGGGCTTACGTCGCTTGTTTTGGGGCATAGGCTTTGCATGGTTCATTTCGTGCAGTACATCGGACATGGTGGATTTCCATCGTCCGGATAGAGCGAGACCCAGTCTCGCTGCCTTGACCTGCAGAATCTACACTATGTTCTCTACTCAGTCAATTGCAAGCAGCTCGTACTTGTCGTCGCCCAGAGCATCCTCTACCCTCCGCATGAGGGAGAGCACCTTCTCCTCCTCCAGGCGGCGTCCCACGACCTGCACACCCACAGGCAGTCCATGCATAGCAGTCGCATCGTACAGCTTGTACGCTCCCCTTGCCACGCCGTTCAGCCTGCCGAGCTTGAAATCCTTGGGTAGCTGATCCAGGTTCTTGTCAACGTGAGTCACGGGCACCACACCGGCAGAGTAATCGAGCTGTCCACAAAGTCAGCCACACAGTCACAGCGGGCACATCCAGCAAGGAAAACTCACAAGGTTGAACATGAACGTGTATCCGCAGCTGCTGACGGCCTCTCCCATGCCGTCGTGCGGCACCGCCGGCGTCGCATTTGGTGGTGTCACCAAAAAGTCCACCTTGGCCGCCTCCCACCAGTCGAACCAGGCCAGCCGGATCTTCTCCCGCTGCGACACGAGCTTCCACGCCTCGAACGCGCTCTGCGGGCGAAAGTCGCGCACGAGGTCCGCCCACAGGGCGTCACGCCGCACGTACTTGGCCCACAGGTAGTAGAGGTACCGCGTGGGGCGCCACATGCTGGCGAGGTAACTGAGCTGGGCGGCGCCGGCGTCGACCCACTCGCCCGGACGGAGGAAGGAGCTGTAGGTGAGGCATCCGTCCGAGTTGAGGGCCAGGGACGCGACGCGCAGGATCTCGCGGAGGTGGGGCAGGTCAACTTCGACAATCTCGTGGCCCTCACGGCGGAGGGCGTCCTCCACCATCTCGACAGCGCGGAGGCATGCCGGGCTGGGGTCGACGACGCCGTCTGTGCGCATGATGCCGACGCGGAGCTTCTTCTTCTCGAGAAACTCCTTCTCGACGTCGTGCCGCCAGGGAATCGGGTGGACGGTGTAGTCGTAGTTCCACGGCTTCATCTCAACGATGGAGCGGGTAAAGTAGGTCAGGTCGTTCAGGGTGCGGGCCATGGGGCTGAAGACGCTGGGGATGCCCTCCTGGCCGGGCATGCTGGTCGTGATGCCCATCTTGGGCCAGCGGCCGGTGGAACATCGCAGGGAGTAGCAGCCGGAGAAGTGGGCAGGGACCCGGACGCTCCCCGCAACATCGGAGCCGATACCGATCCTGCCGCCAAAAGCAAGGAGAGCAGACTCACCGCCTGTTGAACCACCGGGGCTGTACTTGCTGTTGTGCGGGTTGGTGGTGCGTCCCCAGACGTCATTGGTGGATTCGAAGGAGAGGAGCGTGATGGGAAGGTTGGTCTTGACGTAGGGCACGGCACCGGCGTCCTTCAGCAGACGCACGACGGGGCCATTCTCGACAGACGGCTTGTTGGTGTGCATGGAATAGCCGATGCACGAGTCGTACCCAGCGACATGCAGGCTGTCCTTGAGGGAGACGGGGATACCAGCGAGGGGACCCTTGAGGTTGATAGATCCTTCCTTGAGCCAACCCTCGGCAGACTCCAGCATGACTTCGGTCAAGCAGTTGGTGCTCTCATGGGCTTTCAAGGCCACCTTTCCGTACGTCTTGAGAACGTCGATGGGCTGGGTAGCACTCTTCTGGACATCCTGGACAAGCTCTTGGATTGGCTTCTGCAGAATCTCCCGTTCCAGTGCAGAAAATGGTCCGTGGTAGGTCGTCAAGGAACGAATCCTGTGGGACCGCTGAGACTGCTTGGATTGACTGTGAGGGTGTAAGTCGTGATGATGCATGTAGCAGGGTCGATGGGGGTGGTGATCATGGTCAAAACCTACCAGTCTCGGCGGTGTTGGAGGTCAAATGGAAAGACCATAGCGAAGGGTCAAGGTGGGTAAGTTACGTGTGGGTCGCAGTGCTAGAAACAGAAGAATGAGGTTGGAAACTCGTGGCACCGACAATGGGCTTGGCGAGGTAGATGAAGGAAGAAGGATAGATAGGTCGTACGAGACCTGGAGCTGGGCAGTTCGTCCCTTGATACACGGTAGTTCGGAGCTGGTTTCGCGGGGCCCCGCGCGCGCCCCTCCAGGTAGGTAGGTGCACAGTGTACAGGGCGTGCGCCTTCCCCTATCGTGTCACGCCCTGGCCCGCTGATACCCGTGGGTCCACCCCCGGAGGTCCACTCTGCGTGCTTCCGATAAGACATGGCAGCCTCGGCAGCTTCGGTCAGATCGGTGAGGGTTTCCTTACCTTCGTGAATCGACACCACAGCAACGTCATCTTGGCTGGTGACAGACAAATCCTGCTTCCCATTTTCACCTTCCTGGTGAATGAGAAGCCATCTCTTCAACGGATGATGTAGAACAAACATTTGTACTCGCGAGCCGGCCCGCCGATCCATACTCACGAGGCCTCTTCTTACTGGATGTAGGTTGGAACACACCGCTGGCGTTCTCGCTTGAGTTCAACCATGCGTGGTCATGAGTGCCTGGCAATTTTCCTTTCTTTTTAGATACACGGAAACAGCCGCACCTTGCAGCTCGCCCCAGATGCCCATTGGAGCGACCAGGACACTGCATCTGGATGCAGCTGGGCCGCCAACCAGCGGGCACAGGCAGCGGCAATCGGTGCAGCGAACGCAACAAAGCAAAAACTTTTCGATTCAAGTCCTCCACAGTGCATTGTGGCCGCCCTATGAACATGGCCGCCCTTCCTTACAATGTAGCGGAGGGCCGCCTCTCCTTGCGGTAGTGATCCGCAATCAAGAAAGCCAGCTCCAGCGCCTGCTTCTCGTTCAGTCGCGGGTCGCAGAAGCTCGTGTAGTTGGTCGACAGATCGTCCTCGTCGAGGTTCTCGCTGCCGCCGAGGCACTCAGTGACGGCATCGCCTGTGAGCTCGAGATGCACGCCTCCGAGGAAGCTGCCCTGCTCCTTGTGGATCTGCAGCGTCTGCTGCAGCTCCTCGAAAATGTCGCCAAACTTGCGCGTCTTGATGCCGCTGCCCGTCGACTGCGTGTTGCCGTGCATGGGATCACACTGCCACACGACGCACTGCTTGTACTCGCTGTCCTCGACGGCGCGGATGTGCGCCGGCAGCAGGGAGCGCACCTTGGCGGCGCCGTAGCGGGTGATGAGCGTGATCTTGCCGGGCTCGCAGCTTGGGTTGAGAGTACGGAGGAGGGCGAGGAGGTCGTCCACCGGCGTCGTGGGACCGACCTTGATGCCGATGGGATTCGCGATGCCCGCGGAAGAACTCGACGTGCGCGTGGTCGATCTGTCTCGTGCGGTCGCCGATCCACAGAAAGTGAGCTGATGTGTTGTAGTATTCCTTTCTTGGGGGCGGACGCGGGGTTCGTTCGGGCCTCGACTGAAGAACGGGAGTCTCGAGAAGCCTCGTCAAAGGCTGTTCATACTCAAGAAGAAGACCTTCGTGACTGGTAAAGGAGGTCGACCGGTGTCGAGCTTGTCGCTCTTTGTCGGCGCCAATCGTGTGCAGGAACCGAAGCATGTCGTCAAGGAGGAGGACTGCTCGGAATACTCTCTTCAGCTCGGGTCGCGACATGACCAGGCCCCAGTCGAGGGGCCTATGAGATCAGCATTCCAGCATTAAGCGATGCTCGAATGTAGTTGAGTGTAGCTGAGGAGTGATGGTAGGCCCTGAGGGAGGTTGGTTAGTCGAGTTGATCGCCCTCATCTTGGATGTGGGGAGAAACTTGCTTGACAAGCCTTTGAGGATCAATCTCTCTCTCATCAACGTGGAATCCGTTTAATATGTCTCCTCTGAAAGAAGGCATCTCGACTCCGTCCACAACCTCGGTCGGGCTTGACCTGGGCTTCGCATACTGGCCTGCCATGCGGCCGATTCGAACGACCTTCTTGTCAGCACCCCAAACGAGGACCAGACTCATCTGCAGCAAGAGCTTAATCTTAGACTCGATGGCATTCTGCTCGCAGTACGAGAAGAGTTCAGCGCAGTCTCCGCCCTGGAGCAGGAATGCCTCGCCCTTGGCCACATCACGAAGATGCTGTTTGAGGGCGACAATTTCCTTGGGGTGGACAATGGGAGGCAACCTCGACAGTTCGTCAACGGACTTTTGCAAAAGCTTCGCATCTGGGTACGCCGGCGCCTGTTTGATGGGCTTGGAACGCCAAGAACCGGGCGTCCACTCTGGCGCAGGAGTTGCCATGATGATGGTAACCGTGGCTCGTTGTGACTCAGATGCTGGTATCACAAGAATTTCCAATTCGATGATGACAACGTGAAAGAGAAAGAGAGAGAGCGTTGTGATGCTGGAACGTTGCTCAGTATCTCCAACCTTTGGGTTTAATGAGTCACTCGTAATGTCTGAAATGACCTGGGATACCTGACGAGAGTAATGGCCAAATATGGTCCTCAATGAAGGTCCCTTCTGGGCAAACCAAATCTCATTGTGTGCAACACAGGTGCATGCGCGCTAGGCCAACCAGAGCTTTCGGAGGCTGCAGTTACACGGGTACTTGTGTGCAACGCGTGGCGCAACCGGCACGCCAAGTATCTCCCTAGCGCACGGTCTCCCTTTGCTCCAGTTGACACCACGACCCCACCACAGAAATCTTACAGCTTCCTTCCAGTGACCAGTGACCGCATCGAAAGCTCGCCTACCACCAAGAACGCCCACGTCACTGCTGAAGAATTCTCGACCGCTCAACCCTGATTTCAAGGTCGCATAATATACAAACCGACGCCCGCCAAACGACTGTTCCTGCGAAATGTCCGAGAAACAACCTCCTACCATTGTTGAGGGCGCCACGACTGGCGACGTTGAGGACGAAATCCCCGCCAACCAGGCCAAGTCCGCCGAAGACCGCAAGGCCGCTTCAGCTCTCGCCTCCCTCGAGGGTGGTGATGACGCGCGAGGGAACGATGTAGACGCAGAGGCTGCCAAGAAAGCTATTGGTAGCCTCGGCGGCGATCAGAAGAAGACCGGCGAGCCCGTTAAGAACGTCAAGGTCGAGGCTGCCGATGTGGCGTTGCTGGTAAGGACACGCGTCAATTCAGACGAGCTTTGCCAGTCAGGTATGCTGACCAGCCGAATCACAGGTTGAGGAGCTCGAGGTCACGAAGCCTAGGGCGACGGAGCTGCTGAAGGCGAACGAGGGGGACGCCGTCAAGGCTATGCGTGCGTTTGTCAGCGTTTGAACGAAACACTTGGGTGCCATTGCATTGGAAGGGGCGTTGAGGGGCGTGACAAGCGCTACGAGGATGGATCTTGGTGGGTATATCAATGCGCGGAGGCATCAATTGCTGACACGGTGTCCAGCTCAATCATTCCTTACGATAGACATGATACGACCATAGCACGGGCGATAGTGCCCTGCCCACTGCGGAATAGTAATATTCTACGCTCGAGACCGGTGCACCAAGTCCGCTGCCGCCCTGATGATCGATTGCCGTTGTGTTGCCGAACCTTGATAGTCCTCACAGCATGTGTGTCGCATTGCTGGTCTGAGGACTCTTCTTGTGGCATTGAGTCTGGCTTCGTGGCAATCGCCTGTTCGGCTATCGCCCTTCGAGAGGCATGACGCTTTGCCTCATGGGCTGCAGCTGCCCAACAAAGTGCGGCGTCCAGCGTTGGGCTGAAGTGATCAAGAGGGAGGGCAATGCGCAGCTCCCACGTCAGAAGAAGGTCTCATGTTGTTGGAGGACAGAAGGCACGGCGTGGTAAAGTGACGAGTCATTCAGACTTGCGGAGCATGGATAGCCCAACGATAATCACTTGTTCTCAAGGCAAGAATGGCGATTTAGGACCACGCGGGTCAGTGTCGTAGCCCAGTGCCAGATTGCAGGCTCGGTCTACATTTCTCCGAATGTGTGATCACGATGCACAAACAACACACCCCTCAAGCTCCTAGGACCAATCAAGAAATAACCCGCAGAACCACATTTCAACAGCCTGCGCACAATAAAATGATGCGGAAGAGAGGTAATGAGGGGATGGGGTTGTGGCGGCCACGCCTTGCCGTATCAGGCGTGACCGAAGACGCCGACTGAAGCCGTTGAAGGAATGAGTGAGGTGGGTGATGCGAGCGACGGAACAAGACCCCGCTGCGCCGGATAATGGGAGCTGGTTGTGACGGGGGCGCTTGCGGTCGCCACGACATCAGACCTCGGTGAGACGAGACAGCCAGTCATGGCGTGGCTCGGTCAGGCTGCAGGTGGTGCGATGACCATTAAGAGTCGTATGTGCTGACATTGGGCCTCACACCTTGAAATTACAAAGTACAAAGCAGTAGGCACCCGTGACCTGGTATGTGAGGTGGCCTGTGTCACCCGGTGTGCGCTCCATCCGATCCGGCCATCCGCCCAACGAGGAAACCGGTAGGCGCAGGTCTGTCGTGCATATGCCCGCCACAACCACGGCTGTTCCCTGACGGTGGTGGTGGTGGTGGCAGAGGAAGATCTGGACCGAGAGAGGGATTTTGTACAGAGGCACATTGCGCTGGTTCACTTGGGTGGGGGGATGAGGTAGATTATCCGGCGACGCTTCCGGCACGACATGCCAATGAGGAGGCCGAGCATTCAGTCAGCGGGTGTTGAAAGCAGGGGTGTCGTGGGCCAAGCTCGGCATCATGGAAGCTGGAGCGATGAGTCGGCAGAAGAAAGAGCCAGACAGTCCAGGTTTGGAGACCAGGCACTGAACCTAGGACACCGAGCGGCCACTTGTGGTGAAGCTTTTGACAGGGTGCTAAGTTATGCCCACCAGGAAGCGGGTGGGTGATGGCCCTGGTGTGCACATGGGTAACAACCCGACCGGACGGGGTACCTGGTCAGGTCAGGTAGTCTAAAGTGCGGGATTCGGTCTTCGAGAAACGACGTGGGTGGCTGGTAAAACCGTTTGGGTCATCCCGTCATGCATCAAACTGGGCACATGCCTAACAGATGGTCAGACCCGTTAGAAACTTTGTGTTGCCTGGAAATGGTGTCGCGAATGACTTATTCGTCGAGAGCGGTCCACGCAATCGACATTGCCCGCCATGAGCCGGCGCATTACTATTGATGTAGATTGCCAACTTGTCGCATGTTTTAATATCGCGCTCCAAGAGGTGCAGAAAAGCCTCGGTCCTGGTGGCCATCGACACCACAAGCTTGGCCGCCCGTCGTGGTCGATGATCGGCCTACAAGTGGGCGCCGCGTTTCTCTCGACACTGTCAGGCTTGCCGTCTGCTGCTGGCGTGAGACATGCTCAGCCAACGCGGGGAGACTACGGCCGGCTACCAGTCTGGGCTAGTAGATTGGAGCCTGGTGGTCATGAGTGGATGGTGTCTGGCTGGACTTCCCGAGTTGACCGAGGGTATGTTGTAATCGGTGCCTCTGGGAAGCGAAGCTGCCCAACTTGACAGGATCGCGAAATCGCTCTGAAGACTCGCTCCTAGGGGCTTGGCTGTATGGCCAGGCAGTGACGTCGGGTTGCCAGGTTCTTCGCCTTGTCGAGATGCGAAGCCCTGCACGGAGGCTTGCGACGTGGTCTGCTTCCACCATGGCGCATCCATCAGAAAAGAGACATCGGACCGTTGAGTCCTTGCCGGGAATCTTCTCCGATCAACGGGCGGCGAGCTGTCGGCGAAGCCAGGTCAATGTTGTGTTCGAGATAAGATCTTATTCCAAGCCGCCGTACGTGTATGTATGTATGTGTGTGTGTGTGTGTGTGTGGCCAAGGTGCATCGCGGGGTGCCTTGTAGGACGGGTCCTCTCCGCCATTGTTGCCGATGTCATCCCGCGCCGCCCCTGCACTTGCCCTGCTTGTAAATTGCATTTAATTCTTCGAGCCGGGACAAGCGCGCCGTGAAACGATTGTTGTGTGCAACCATCAGGGCGATCCGGCCGAGTCTCGAACGCCCGCCTTGCGATCCGTCGGCTCTTCTATACCAAGCCCAAGGAGCAGATTCAACGACAATGGCGTGAGAAAGGGAGAAGAAGCCCGCGATCCAGGTGCAATATCAGACAGTCACAGGCAAGGCAGGAAGAAAGTAGGCACAGCACCCGAAGGCCGTGGAACTCACGAGGGCGTACAGAGATTCGGCAAGACCAGTTGTCCTCTGCTGCTACCCTCCGGTCCTCGGTGGGCCCCTGCCATGACCAAGTGCTGTGTTCGGTGTCGTACCCCTCGGTGCGCATGCACGAGCCAGATGGCTGGAGCACGTCCCCTCTCTCCCCCACCCGCACACCCTAGCACGCACCTGCCCATCGCCAGGGTTCGCGGCTGTCGGTCAATGGCGCCTGCCCTCCATTCGTCCCGTCTGGCCTCGGTCGGCCGCCGCTGCGTGCTTGTGGGTGAGGTGAGGTGCAGTAGGGAAGGAAGCAAGGGAAGGTGCGGTGCGATGCGAGTGCAGGTGCGGGTGCGGGTGCGCAAGTCACTCAAGTCAAGTTCGAGTGTGCAATAGCAATAACAATAGCAATTGCAAGCCCAATCGTTGGTTTACTGCAACGTCCCCTCCTTCCCAAGCAGGCAGACGCACGTCAGGTCCATTTCTCTCCGGCCGGTTTGAAGCCTTAACCCGGCCATCACCTCTCACCTTTCACCTTCGCCTCTCACCTGGAATTCCCCGTCTCACGTCTACGAAGGAGACAAAACTCGCGCACCTCGAATCTCGACAAGCATCCCTCACAGCCACCTGCAGTACTCGCCAGTGTCGAGTGTACAGAGCTCGAGCCTACGCGCATACGCCCACTTGGTCATACGCGAGTCGCGTTCCCCCCTCCTGCCCCTCTCCGTTTTCTAGTTCCGCCTTCCAAGGTCGCTTCCCCTCGCCGTTCACGTCTACATCCACGCCTCAGGTCCATCTCCGCGGTCGGTGAAGCTCGGTGGGGCGCAAAGGTTAAAAACAAAGCACAACACACCCTATCGTTACCCGCCCCATCGATACTTGTACCGCCCGCGCGGCACTTTATCACTCACATTTTCACGTTCATTCGATCATGGGCCCTCGTGTCTTATTCTGATCAACATGCATCCGGCTCCCAGCCTGCTCGAGGCACCCCCCAAGACAAGCCCCTCGGACGAGCCCGCCCGCGCAACCTCCGTGCCGTACCAACAACAACACTCACCCAGCCCCCAGCAGTCAAGTGAGCAGATGCCGCAACCACAGGAAGAAGACCATGCCATGGTCGACATGGATCCTCAACTGCAGCAGCAGCAACACCAGCTCCAGCAAGAGCAGCTCCAACAAGAGCAACAGCTTCAACAGCAGCAGCAGCAGCAGCAGCAGCAACAACCGCAACAGCAACAACAGCAACCGCAGCAGCAGCTCCCTTCAGTCACCTCACCCAACCACCAGACGTTGAACCCCAATCCGGCCTCACCGCCGATGAGGAAGGACACCAATTCGTCCGTGTCCACTACGGCCACCACGGCCACCATGGCATCTGCTGGCACCGAGATGTCAACAGAGACAAACAACACATCGTACAGTGCCGACACCTCTCCTAACCTTACCTCCATCTTCCACATTAAGGATGGAGCCGACATGTCTAACCGGATTCGCGCGAGCGGGAGGCGAACCGGCCCTTTGTCTTTCCAACAGAGAGAGAAAGCTGCTCTCATTCGAAAACTCGGCGCCTGTCTCGACTGTCGTCGCAGGCGCGTTGCTGTAAGTCTGAGGCTACAGGGCCTCACATAATCCATTGCCCGTGCGCCGGCCGACTGTTGCTGATACTGTTTATGACGATAAGTGTCATCCCAGTCATCACAATATGAGTTGGGAAGACGCAGTCGAAAAGTTCAAGAACTCGCTGCCCGGCATGCAGGGTAAGAGCCACACCGGCGGCCAGAGGCCATTGAGCCCTCAAGACCAGAGCCTGAAGTCAATGTATGGCGACCAAGAGATGGATATTGACTCTCCCTCTGGTCGATTGGGCGAGTCGCGCATCCGAACGCCCTTGCCATCCGGCCCCAGGCTCGACAAGCCGGGAGGTCTGACAGGCATCGAAGTCAAGACCGACTTGCAGACAAATGTTGCTCGTATCTTGTCCAACCCTCACCGCAGTCGCTATGCAGGTGCTCAAGTATTGTTGCTTCATTGGGCTGGCGACCACGACCCCCATGTTAGCTCGGCTGTCAATGAACTAGCCGACGTCTTCGATCAGTACTATCGATATACGTTTCAAATCCAGGCTATTCCGTCCACTTCAGAGAGCTGCAAAAGCCCTTGGAGGTGGCTATCGCGGAAGATTACTGATTTTTCAGAGGAGCGCGACCAGCGTGATGTCCTCAAAATCGTCTACTACAACGGACATTCGTACCTTGATGACAACCGCGAAATGGTTCTCGCCAGGTGAGATCTAGTCTGCACATTCAGCTGGAATTCAACCTTGTGCTGATACCAGATAGCTCGAGGGACAGGGAGAAGGCAGAGACACTCCGCTGGAGTGGAATACAGCAGGTCTTGGAAGAAGCCTGCGGTGACACGCTTATTCTCATGGATGCTGCATACTATCCGTCTTCTAAGATGGTGCGCCAGCAGGGTGTTCTTGAACTAATCGCTGCGGCCGTCTCAGAGGAGCATTTCAATGAGCTTGAGCGGTGCTCTTTCACCAAATTATTGGTGGAGCAACTCAAGACACGAGCATCACATCGTGTACCGAACCCGCTTACAGCTGCCGAATTGCACTCCAAGCTTGTGTCTAGCTATCCGACGTTCATTCAGGACAGAAACGGCGACAGGGACCTGGTCACGACATCACCTTCGCCTCTCCACATTCAGATTGCGGGCAATCCGAGACTCGCATCAATCCTTGTTGCGCCTATGAACATCAGCCCGCAGCGCAACAGCTTGCCTTTTGCGCCAGAAGGTCAACAACTTGTACTGTCCGTTCGCGTGGGTGATGAGCCCATCGACGTTGACAGCTGGACCGAGTGGTTGCGGCAGATGCCCGAAGCTGTGAAAGAAATGAGAATCGACGGCCCATATCGTCCAATCCGATGAGAGATCATTAGTCTTCGTACAGATGATTCACAGGGATGCTTTGGACGACTACTCCCCTTCACGACTCACGCTTGGGCCGCAATGCGAATTTTGACGACATGACCACGACGTTTTGATTTCTAGACGATGAGGTATGCTTACGACAGGGTGAAACGACGGAAGGACAAACGGCGAAGGAGCACGGTATTCGTTCGCATCAAGGAGGAAGAAGGGCATGGCGCAGGCCTCGGGCGAATGTCGGTGGGTTTTTGTAGGGGATATACCAACCTGTTGCTCTTACTGAGGAATAACAACCCACTCTGCTCATCTCATTCTACAACAAGAAACTGACATGCAAGCTATCTATTAACACGTATTCTCTGCAGGCTTAATCACGGCCCATCCAGCGAAGACACAGTCGTCACAATCGTCCCATTTTACTCCTTCAACCTCTCCAGCACCAAGCATGATGCGTCCACATACAGGTATCTTGTCTGTCACTAATCATAGCAGCTCACCTCGATTACCACATCACCAGCGCCGCAACAGCCAAGCTCACACCCACGCCCCAGAAGCTTGCGCGCACAATGCCAGCAGCATCCTCCTTTTCATCGGACCCGATAATGAAGCCTGGCTCGAAGGAGCTGACGCTCGCCGAATCGGTCGATCCGTCCCAGCAGTACCGCTCGAAACAGCGCGTGCACGCTTCTGGCACAGTCTCGTTGCCGCGGTGCAGGCTCCTGCTGAGGACGGCGCAGGCAACACAAACGGGCCACTCGCTGTCGACCGTAGCATTGCCCTGCGTGGCGGCGTTGAAGCCGTTGCGGATGATGGCGTCGCGCTGGGCGGTCGGGTAGGACGGGTTGAAGGTCGAGACGTTGCTGTGAGCGGTGTAGGGCGCGTTGGGGACGTAGACGATGAGCGGCGGCAAGGACTGACCGTCCTCGAGGGTAAAGTTGTTCGCGTCGCATCCGAAGAAGGTGGGGCGCTGGTTGAGACGCTGGTTGACGAACGTCTCGGCATCCGGCACGGGCGGGAAGAGGGTGCCGTTGCCGATGGCGGTGCCGGCGCGGTCATAGGTCGCGCGGAGGGCGGTGCCGTTGGGCCAGTTGAAAGTCGTGTCGGCCGAGGAGTCGACGGCGAAGATGACGTCGACGGCGCGGAAGGGCTGGATCAGGGGGTGCAGCGGGATGTTCTGAAGGTCCATTCCGCCGTCGACGAGGGACAGCTGGTCGGACTCGTGGTTGGCCGAGTCGTTGGTCGGGTTCCAGCCGAAGAACGGGTTGGGCGCGTACTGGGCAATGTCGTTTTCGTCGGCGTCGAGGCGATCGAGAACGTTGGTCACGGACTCGATGAGGAACTTGGGAATGTCCGCACTCTCGGCGACACCGGTAACATTTTGCAGGATAAAGGCGTTGAAGAGAGAGGACGAGGTGCCCATGACGAAGCCCAGCTGGTCGAAACCGCGGACGCACTCGCCATCGCGGGCGATTTCACCGTTGGAGAAGTTGGAGGCCAGGTAGCGCAGCGGCGCAAAGCCGTAGGTCGTGGGGTCAAAGCTGCCGAGCTCAAAGGGGTTGAACTCGTAGACGGGTGGCATTGAGGGAGATGATGCGCTCACCGGGCGCACGGCCGTCCGCGACCCAGGATGGGGAACGGCGGTGTCCGGCGTTCTTCGAACTGCTCCCGTGTCGGCAATGGAGGAGAAGGTGTAGGCCGGCCCGCCGTCCGGGGGGTTGATGAGCTGATAGGAGAGTGCGCGGCCCCAAAAGTCGGTGATTGATGGTGTCCCAGCCAGCACCCTTGCGGGCGACATCCGCCGACGACGGTCGACCAGTAGTCGGCCGGTGTTGAGGATGGGAGATGCCGGACTTCCTCGGGCCCACGGAAGATGGGAACGGTCGAAGCGCCAGACGGAGGAGCCATCGGACCCTTGGTTGTAGATCAGGGACGGTGGAGAAGTTGTTGGCGAAGATGGAGCCGACGAGCCAGCCCTCCGCCGGAGAGCTGTCAAGTAAGGTGGCGGATTGAAGCAGGCGGCGATGGCGCCGGTACCGTGTCGGATGCGCAGGGTACGAGAATCGCAGCGAAGGGAAGCCGGCTCCCGTTCATGAGAGCACGGTAGCCGCCGCCAGACACGGCAATGGCGATGTTGGGCAGCGCCGTGGCGTTGTCACGCACGCGATCAATGTAGGCGCCTGCGTCAAAGTCGGGGATGTTGGCGCGGGTGAGGAGCTCGCGCATGGGGTCAATGGTGTTGTTCCGGCGACGGGGAAGCCACTCGGCCTCTCGGTCTGAGAGGCGGTCGGCCAGACGGATCGAGGGCCGGGTCGAGGGCAGTCGACGACCTTGGGCTCATAATGACCGCTCGGCGAATCGGGGAGTGCGCGAATGTCGACGGACAGAACAGACAAGCCTTCTGAGCGCTTAGCCGCGACCGCGTCCACAGCGCTCACATCGCCGGGGAGCGCCGCTGCGGGATGGGCGATGGAGGCGGCGAGCCATAACAACGAGTGCGAGAGTTTGGCCATATCCAGCAAAAGTTTGGGTTATCAATTGGGTGCCAATGTTATGAAAGGGCTTGTAGGAAGGACGAGAGAGAAAGAGAACGATAAACACTGAGCGGCAGCTGAACGACAAACTTCAGCTCGAAGAGAAGCTAACAGCGCGTGGCTGTGGGTGTCGAGACGCGCCTTGGATGAACCAGAAGAAGTGAAAAAGCAGCTCCGCGAAACGAAGGGAAGCGAGGACACGGCGATGGAAGGGAATTAAAGGTTTGCCTTCTTGGGGCATCGAGATTGATAGATGCAGAACGGACAGGCCAACGCCAAACGGCGATCCCCTGAAGATCCACCAGCAGCTCAAGCACAGAGAGGGAGCCGCAGTCTCGCGTATGACGCAGCCCGAGGAGGCCACCCGGGCCTAAGCTCGTTCAGGCTGCGTTCAGTTCGGGATCCTCGGCCAGGGTGGGGGGAGGGTGCCCAGGAAACGGGACTAGGGGGGGGGGCCTGAAATGCGAGAAGAGCGAGCGGCTTGTACGAAAAACACCGGATCGGAACGAATGCGATGTGCATGATTGCGACAGGGTTCTGCTCATGCTGCGGTGAGACGTGAGACGACGGATCAGTGTGAGACGGATGTTGTACGCTCTGAAGGAGCTGACGCAGTACCGCCTATCAGCAATCCATCTGTGGTGCTATTTTGACAGCTCAGTCAGACGGTCAACGGCCCTCTGCGCATGCTGTGAGTTTGCAAGGGGCTAGCTGGTGGGCTGAGGCTGCCAGTACGTCCTGCTTTGGGCGCTGTGGCGGGTGGAGTGAAAGAATCGCCCTTGTCGTACATGAAAGTGAAGAAAAGTGTTGCCGCAACAGGCAAGCGGTACATTGCCAATACGCGGAAATGTGTTGTACAATGAGCACCGATGACGATGATTCGGTGCTAAACGCTGTAGTGCAATGGCGGTGCTTGTGGGTTGGACTTGGACTTCATGCAACAGCCAACAGCATTGGCCAAGACGAGGAGGGGCCAACACGGCGACGTGTTTGGACGGACCATCAAGGACTAACGAAGACTCGGTGACGAAAACATCGTGGCGTAGCACCAGAGCATCCAACTGTGAGTGAGCAGGCGAGAGCTGTCGAGAGCCGTCTCCCATCCTGCGAAAGCGCTGGGCAATGAGCAAATAGGGCATCCATTCCCCTAGCAGGAAGGGTGGGCAGAGAAGAAAGAAGCTGGCACCAAACTCTGTCTCGCCCTAGATCCATCTTCACAGGGCGCGCCGCCTCTCTGGCACGAAGCTGCCGTCTTGGCTCGAAGGGTTTCCCCGTCGGTCTTCATGTCACGCACGGCCGCCGAAATCAGCCCTGTCGCTGACATTCTGCCTGACGAAATGGCGGTTTGCAGGGGAACGGGGCGTTAAAAAGTCCCGAGCGCGAAGGAGAAGACAGGGGGTGGGAGAGACAGGGACGCGTATGCTGGCGGTCGTGTGTGCGTCCTTCGGGTTTCGCGGCCGCATTATCGAGGAGTTCGCGTCGTGAGGCCCTCGCGAATCTCGCTGGGAGGGTGTCCCATCATTCATTGGCTTGATCGTTCGAGAGATCGCGTGACTCCACGCGACTGGGAGGCAATCGGTGTCTGTAGTCCGAATTCCTTGTTGCTTTGCTTGGGTCGCCTTTTCTGGCGCCATTGCGACATGTGATGGGCAATTGGCACGCCTCTGTTTAGAGAGCATGTAATTAGTTGGCCGTGTGCGAATCACGGAGCCCCATTCATCCGCGGCTCTGAGGTTTGAAACTGGGTTTCTCGTGGCATTCCTCGACGGCGGGTGGTCTTCATGGGCGTCATGAGTGTTGGACGCAAGAAGCCGTGACATTAAGCCCACTCAAAGTCTAGCGCAATTTGATCGAAATAGAAGTTTGTTTTGGAGAATATGATCCAAAGGAAGACTGTATTCTTCAACAACAAACGGGCGTGTGGTCTAGGGGTATGACATCTGCTTAGCATTGATCTGATCAATACTAAACTGCTGAAGGTCCCGGGTTCAATTCCCGGCGTGTCCACTTCTTTTTGCGATTTGCGCCTCTATGCTCCGGATCACGACCAGTGCGTGTTCTTGGTGTGCCTCGTCTTTTTGGCTGCCCTTTGGCTAGAGCGGTGCTGAGTGGGTGACCTATCTCTGTCACAACCTCTCAAGCATTCGTCACTTTACCCAGTGAAATGGGAGATCCGCTGCTGATGGCGATGTCGTGATGAATATGGATGGTCGACAATAGTGTCTCTGTGCACCTTGTGACGACGAGTGTGAAGTGATGCGTGGTTCAAGATAGAACAATGCATCTTGTATTCGTCCGAGCCGAATCACTGGTCCTTCAATAGTCTTTGCGAATTTCATTGACAGCATGGTAATTACTGCCATCCACCGGCATTTCAAAAGCATTGTTTATGGGAACTATTGATTTTGATATGACAATCATGGCTCGACTGTTGACGATCGCTCCGACACCAGGCCAAGAACGTCCATCCTAACCTGCTTCACGTTTCAATGCTCAAATGGTAAGCAGCTGTTTGCGGTCCAAAAAAAAAAAAGGCCAGCCAGAAGGAAAGCTGGCCTGGGCAGACACGATACGAATCGAACATCCCCCCATACGACAGTCGCAGGCAGTCGGATCCATGGCTGTTGTCATACACCAGCAGCATGTTGTACTTGATAATCTCTCCGTATGCAAAGACATGTGAATGTGGACGGACTGTGTCAAGAAAATGAGATTTCAAACCTGCTATTTTGTTTACCATCTACATATATCTTTCACTACCTCAATCTTCACCTCACCATCAGCATTGAAAGAGAGAAATGAGCCGACAGCTGCCAGCGGGGTTGGCATCTGTTGACGGCCAGGATCCGAAGTCCAAGCGGGGTGCCCTGGTGTTTTGGCCCCCATTGGTCACGCGGAGCTCTGGTGGACCCATCTATGTTGACCCGGCAACAGGAAACACGCTGACCACACTATCAACAAAAACCCCAAGCTGCTCTCTGGAGGCCTGCTCCTGGCTCCCAACCTGCTGAACCACATCACCATGTAAAAAGACACACTCGACCACCTTCGGATAACCCCAATCACTAGTTACTAACCCATCAGCAAACCCCGACATCTATACCCCCTCCCCCCCAAGAAACCATCCCAACCCACCCCGAGTACTCCCCGCCAACTCGAGGCAGCATGGACCCCCAATCACCACCCAAGCGGATGACACGCGCCCGCGCCGCCGCAAAAGCTAGCGATGCTGGGCCCAAGACGACCAAGATTATGACCGCCGCTGCCAAAGCCAAGGCAGCGCCCGCCGCCACAAGAGCAACAGCGTCGTCCAAGAGGAAAACCCGCTCTGACGAGGACGAAGAAGACCACAACGAGACGTCTTCGACAGAAGCCCCAGCACGCGCCACCAGGGCCCGTGGTCGTCCCAAAAAGGCTGCCGAAGAGCCTGGCGAAGAAGAAGCGACATCATCAAGTGCCCCTGGACGGGCAACGCGTGCCAGGGCTGCCGCACGCAAGGCCGCCGCTGACGTGCCCAAACCGGAGCCTACCAAAGAGACGGCCCTCAAGGCAACCCGCGGGCCCGGCCGGCCGAGAAGGCTTGCGACACAAGAAGATGCCCCGGCTGCGTCCGAGCCGCCCAAGAGGACGACACGCACACGTGCTGCCACAGTGACGGCTGCGAAGCCGGTCGTCAGGAAGAAGGTCACATTCGAAGAGCCCGAGAAAGAGAATGTCAATCCGGACGAGGGCAAGAAAACACCCGGTCTGCGCGGCAGGCCTGTTCGCAAACCGCCTGTGCCCAAAGCGGCGAGGCCGACGACCAAGACGGCGGCGACTGCTGCGGCCAAGGAGACCAAGGAGACAAAGGCAC